TTACAACGTTCGGCCTTTGTACTCTCCGGCCTTCTTCAGGTGGTTGGAATGTCGAACTGAACACTTTATTTCGCTCACTGTGCTGGACTGTTCTAGTTCTAGGTGCCATCTCTAATGGATGTCAGTTACCAGTTATACCCTGTTAATTTCCCTCTCCAAATTCTCCACTGCCTTAACCGGGTATTGAACTCACACTCTTTGGGTCCTGTCACTGGATGTAACCAACGCCTTTATCCACTGTGTCATGTGTCTTTGATGGAATTTGAACTCAGCACACAAAATCATTTTGCTGGCCGATAAAAATCACTTTCCGGGCTAGATTTCATAGTACATTAACAAACGAGAAAAGCATTTTCAGTTATTATTAAAGTGGAAAGTAGAAACTAAAAACTGCCATTCCTTACCAGTTCTTTATTCATTGCTATTTAATAACACATCATCTGAAAAGGAAGCGCGAAGCAAACTGTCATTTTTTTATTTTAATATCTACGTATACTTTGAAGTGATTAATAATCCAACTGATCTTTACTAAATTCGGTCATTTTCATTCGAGATTTATTAATTATAAAGGAAAAATACTTTTTGAATAATATTTTATTTAATTTCTCTCGGCTTTTTATAGCAAAATCCTAAATTGTTATTCCGACTTCGTTCTTTGCAAACCACGGTATTTATTTAAATCTCGTAGAGTTGCGATAAAATTAAAAGCATCAAACATAAGATAAAAGAAAAGTACTCTTCGGAATTTGATAGTAGGGTTAAATCTTTTCCCACATTTCTCCAATATGGCCTCTCCTCTCTTTTTTTTTTAATGGCTTCCCGTTTTCTAGCATTTTGTTCCGTCGCAAATGCGTCTCAATGCTTCATTCATGAACACAGCACATTCATTCGTTTCTGAACTCCTGCTTAATTCAGCCATCTTTCTTTTCCTGACCCATATTGTTTTTGTCTCCTTCAACTAAACAGTTACATTCTATTGTCAGCTTCATTTCGCCCTTTTGTAGAATTTCTTTCGCATTCAATTCTTTCCGATTCTATTCAGACTTCAATGGAGTCTACTTCTGTGTCTTTTTGTCAACAGTCGATTTCCATCTGTTTTTGACACGGCTTCCACTCAAAGAAATGCCAACATCTCCTGAAAGCCAAACACTGTGGTTCATCTATGAAAAGACAATCAATTATAGATTCGTTAAGACACGCTTTTAGAAGCATCATTCGAGCAAGACAAGGTAGGCAAGCGCATGCTTCATTCCTAGAGATCTTTCTCTCAGTTCGTATTTTCTCAATGCTCTAATAAGTCAGGAGTCGGTGAGACTGGTTCAGCAGTGGCTTTATCGAAAAATAGGGGTTTAATATCTCTCACAACATTAGTGCACCATTTGTCCAACATGAAAAAGACACATAAAACCTAATAAAATTTAAGGCATAGTTCAAAAAAGTCAAATCATGACAAGGACTGGACGGAGCGTTTCGAAAATTTGTCTCTTACGCTGCTTAAAAGATATACATATATGTAGGTTAACACAATAGACACAGCTATGAAGGATAGGAACGCATCTTACCGTTGTTACGGAATGGAGTTTCGGAACACTAAATCAGATTGAATTTGCATTCAGTCTTGGACTTCTCCTAAACTGCTTTCCAACCAATGCTAGACAAGACGAGGATTCATAATTTTCTCAGTTACAATTGTGCCGAGGCAAGCGTAACGGCGTCGGCTGGAATTTGATCTCCACGCGCCAGTTTCATTTTCTGCAATAAAATGTTATCGATTTACGCGCGCGTCTGTGTGCATGTCTGTCTATGTATATATGTATGCATCTATATATTTATCTGCAAATACACATACACGCACACACACACACACACACACACACACACATATATATATATATATATATATATATTCTTATTTTATTTAAGGATATTAAAAAAAACGTGAAATTATACTCCATTTGTTCTCATTTTACCTATATATATATATATATATATATATATATATATATATATATATATGCGTGTTTGAGTGTTTGTGTGTGTGTGTATATATGTATATATATATATATATTTATATATATATATATATATATATATATATATATATATATGAAGAAATAGTTTTAAGGTGTGCTATTTATGGGATAAAGTGCTCAATATCAGAGATAGAGCGTATGTAAATATAAATATAAAAGCGAACATTGAAGTCAACACACCAGAGGCGACAAACTGTTTTCATGCTAGGCGCAGTTGTCAGGCCGCTTGAGGATTGCACATAGCATGAAACAGACTGTCGCCTCTGAGTGTTGGCGCAATATTCCCTTTATATATATATATATATATATATATATATATATATATATATATATATATGTATAGTTTTAGATTTTTGAAAAAATATTATCAGCAAGTTTTAAAAATCTTACCAGCAACACAATTCTGGAAAAAAAATAAGATCGATAAAAGTCTTGTTGGCATTAAATGACCCATTGAGATTGATATGCCATGGAAAAGCCACCAAACAGATTTTACAATTATATAGAAGCTATTTCTGGGAGGTATATTAGGTATTTATATTACACCACATATATATATATATATATATATATATATATATATATATATATATATATATATAATTGGATATTTCTTTTCTAAGGTATATAAGAGTAGTCTATTTTGAATTCCTTTACAAGAGCTTTTTGCAAAGGAAAAAAAAAATTTGTTTGATCTAAGCATGGTAATGACTGATAAGTCGGTAAATAAAACAAATTGATAAATTGTTACACACATACGCTCAAACATATATAGTATGTTTTAGCAACATTCCTTCTGTTATGCATGTTTCGTTAATTATCTTTAATTTTTTTATCTAATACTTTTTGCATATCTTCAATTTTTAATTTTTCACACTATTTGTCCGAAATTAGTTCGATTAAATGTCAACTCGTCTACACACTTCCCGGTCAAATATTGTGGAAAATCATTAACAAGCATTTTTAAAAGATGACAGGTTAGAACGCAGAGAGCAATAGCTTCATGCCTTTACCAAAATTATCAGAAAACGAAAAGAAGCAAACTCATTTGTATTCACAAATCATTTTATCAACTTCAATTGCCGTTAAACCACGCTTCAACTCTACACGGTGTGTCCACAAAATATAAAGCAATTAAAGATTTTGATGTAAATTAGCCAACCATCAATTTGGACCTTTACTGTTCATGCATGAACGTGTATTAATTAATGCTAATTAGTCAATAGTAAGAGGACTCACACATGAAGAAAACCCTTGTGTCAATAAAAAATCTAGTTCTACAGAAGGATACTGAAAATACTATGGACAACGTGAAGTTTTTGAGAAAACGGAAGCAAAAAGGACACTTTTACTTAGAATAATAAACTGACAATTCAAATTTCTAGCGCGCACAATAAGAAAAGACGGTTTGGAAAATTTAACACACACAGGCCATGTTGAACGCAAAAGTGAGAGAGGAAAACAAAGAATAACCTACCAAACGAAATTATGTAAATGCTTGGCAGAAATGGGATTAGGAGAGATAGCAATAGGACAGACACTAAATGCTACAAGAGACAGGAAGTTGTGGAGAGCGATGATCGTCCACGTCCTAAATGGACACGGAACATAAAAGAAGAAAAAGCTATTCCGTAAGCTTGTATACTGAACGATGCACAATAATTTATAGCTGAGTCTTTAATTTGCTGGTTTTCTTTATAAAATGACGCCTCATCTAGATCTATCGGGTTGCTGATTTGTGTTACAGAAGACTGTAGGAACTCTTAGACAACGTAATAAATGAAAGGGTGCTGAAATATTAACCCTTAGTTGTCAGAAGATAGAATGAGTGGTCATTAGCCACGATGAGAGCTACAAGTGGTAACGTCAAATACAAATATTTAAATAACAAACGATGGAAAGAATGACATAGAAATCTGAAGGGGTAGGGGAATTACAAAACGTGGCTTCCAAAAATATTAAGAAACAGAAATGCATCGTTGGAAACAAAGACAAAAGTGAATAACTCTCATGTAATATGAATTGATTTATATGGTAAAAAAATGATAGAGAATTTCTTTACTGATGAAGAGGAGAGGTGAGGCAATAGAGAAGTACTTCTCCAGATTGATGCCGCGAAAGCCATGGATAGAACATTTGAGCAACGAGGATGTTTTAAGGACAACGGGAACGAAAAGGACACGTTTGCTCTCTATCAGAATTAGACTTTTGAAATATCTGGGATGCACAAAGAAAGAAAGAAGGTTTGGAAAATCTGACATTCACATGACATTATAAAAGCAAGGTAAACAGAATAAATAACAATGAGGAAACTATTTTACGACATTGTGTAAATATAGCGATTTTCTAAGCCTAGCTCAGATGTGGTACAAAGCCGAAAGAATGGGGCACACAGTGAGGATCGAACTCACAACTAATTGTTCTAGCGAGACGAGCTTGCTAAACATTACGCCACCACGAGCTACCCAGACCTATATGGAAGTACAGAAACTTTCCTGCTTGCTTTCATTGTTATAACTACAAATGATCGGAAGTTGTAGAGAGCCATGTAACTGGAGATATCAAGGAAAGAAAAAATAGAATTTCAAATCCGAAATCTGAAATCTAAATAAGTATTTTAGCGACATTTTTAGCAGCTACTCATTATTATAGTTAATGTTTAAGCATATTGTCTTACAAATAAAACGAATCTGAATATAATGAAAAATAGAGCAAAGTGGAAAACGTTTATATGGACAAGGTCAGATGAAAAGGAATAAGGGTAACAAGATTGGCGCAACACAATCTTGCAAGAGAGAAGAGAAATCTTGATGTTATGATCGGTATTAGACATTAATATTCTTAATAACGTTCGCTTATCAGTTGTTAACTCTCCCCCTCTCTCTTCAGAAGAAGTAAAAAAAGAAGAAAGAAAGAATGTATTATAGAGAGAGGGTTGTAAAAAGAGATGCATAAATAAAGTTAAATTTAAGAAAGAATGAGAAGAGATGGGAGAAAAATCCTGTAAGAGAGGGAGAGAGAGAGAGAGAGAGAGGGGGGTAGGGAGGAAGAAAGAGAGGATCGAGAATGACGAAAAAGAAAATTACAGGATGAATAAAGGAAGAGGAAAGCAGAAGGTGAAAAGTGGCGGGGGGAGAACGTATAAAGAGAAACATTAGAAGAGGTGAGGAAGAGGATGGGAGGGAAGAGGACAATAATAACGAGAAAGAGAGAAAGATATAAGGATTTAAAGAACGAGGAAAACGTAATAATTAAAGAAAGAAAGAAAGAAAGAAAGAAAGAAAGAAAGAAAGAAAGTACTCTAGAAAGAGGGGTCCGAAAAAAAGAAAGATTAAAATTATGAAATTGTAGAGAGAATGAGTGCACAGGGAATGAAAACTTCGTGGGGTGGGGACATGGTCAGAAATTAGATGAGCCAGAGAGAGAAGAGAATGAAAATGACGAGAGAGGGAACAGGCAATAAAACGAAGGAAATACAGTAAAACCTAGATAGAAAGAGAGGAAATCACAACGTAACAAAGAAAGAAAGAAAGAAAGAAACAAGGAAAGAAAGAAAGAAAGAAAAAAGAAACAAGGAAAGAAAGAAAGAAAAAAGAAAGAAAGAAACAAGAGAAAGAAAGAAACAAGGAAAGAAAGAAACAAACAAGGAAAGAAAGAAAGAAAGATAAAAAGAAAGAGACAAGGAAAGAAAGAAAGAAACAAGGAAAGAAAGAAAGAAAGAAACAAGGAAAGAAAGGAAGAAAGAAAGAAAGAAACAAGGAAAGAAAGAAAGAAACAAGGAAAGAAAGAAAGAAAAAAGAAAGAAAGAAACAAGGAAAGAAAGAAAGAAAAAAAGAAAGAAAGAAACAAGGAAAGAAAGAAAGAAACAAGGAAAGAAAGAAAGAAAGAAAAAAGAAAAAAGGAAAGAAAGAAAGAAAAAAGAAAGAAACAAGAGAAAGAAAGAAACAAGGAAAGAAAGAAACAAGGAAAGAAAGAAAGAAAGATAAAAAGAAAGAGACAAGGAAAGAAAGAAAGAAACAAGGAAAGAAAGAAAGAAAAAAGAAAGAAAGAAACAAGGAAAGAAAGAAAGAAAGAAAAAAGAAACAAGGAAAGAAAGAAAGAAAAAAGAAAGAAACAAACAAGAGAAAGAAAGAAACAAGGAAAGAAAGAAAGAAAGAAAAAAAGAAAGAGACAAGGAAAGAAAGAAAGAAACAAGGAAAGAAAGAAACAAGGAAAGAAAGAAACAAGGAAAGAAAGAAAGAAAGAAACAAGGAAAGAAAGAAAGAAACAAGGAAAGAAAGAAAGGAAAAAAGAAAGAAAGAAACAAGGAAAGAAAGAAAGAAAAAAGAAAGAAAGAAACAAGGAAAGAAAGAAAGAAACAAGGAAAGAAAGAAAGAAAAAAAAAGAAAGAAAGAAAGAAAGAAAGAAAGAAAGAAAGAAAGAAAGAAAAGTACATTTTCATCATTATAATGAGGAAATTAGACATAAAAATGCGTATGAGAGAAAATGGTTTGGAAGGAAATACACGGAGACACCAAAGAGAGAAAGAACGACGTAGAAAGCATAGGAAACAAAGTGATGGAAAAGAGAGCGAAAAAGAATTTGCAGAAGTACTTTATTTGAACGGAATTTTTTTTTAAAGGAACTTATGTGTAAAGAGCGTCGAGCAGAAAGACTTCTCTTTTATCGGAAAGTGACTAGATTCAAATAATGATTACTCAAAGAAAAGCTCTCACGTGTTCAACAAAAAAAAATAAATAAATCAAAAATAAAAAAATACTCCCCATGTACACGTACAGAGAGAGAGATAGAATGATTGATTGAGAAAGGGAGATAGAGAGAAAGACGCTAAGAACACCATACCCACACCCACACACCGGCGCAAAGAATGAACGTCGTCTTTTCTTCCATTGACGACGTCCCTGAAGCTAAGCTCGAATATAAAGAGATCAATAACGCAGTATAACAGATGTGACACGCTGCTTTGTGGACGGTCAAAGAAACAGCAACTAAGCATTTGTTTTCGGCCAACAATAAAATTCTATAGATTCCGAATCATGGTCATAAAGGTTGAGACGAGGTGGGGGGTAGACATGGCGCTTGGCGGCGGTGAAGTCAATGAGAGATGTCGGAGTTCCAAGACAAACAAGTTTGGGGAAGACGGTGTCGCTGTTGTTAGGAGTGGTTAAAAATAAAGGGGAGGTTACGTGAAAACCGTGATACAGGTCTATAAGGGCGGGCCACAAAATGATTGTCAGACAACTAAATTCAATATTTTCAGCATGCAATTACCAAGTTTGCATTTTTCTGGCACTAGACCTCACGACTGAGGCACCAAGTGAGAATCGAATTCACTGCACTATCAAAACTACCGCTGCCCCAGGGGCACTTTTTTTCAACACATAGGAGAGAATTCAAAACAAAATAAATTAACCTGACATCTCGATTGATGTTCTTAAATAGCCTCGTCAGATCTGAACTCTCATGCGGAAGTCATACATAACATGTAACTCATTTAAGAATAACTAAACTATCAGCTACATGCAACCATTTGCTGAGATCACTGAATAAAAATGGCTTCAAACGAACGAGTCTTTTAGGTTTTAAAGAAAACATTATTACATTATATCCTATTTACTTGGATGCAAAATAAACCAAAAGCTATAACAAAAAGAAAACAAAAAAAATCACCCCCTAATAGTCTTCCGACCGGAATAACAGATAAAGTAAGTTACACACGAAGCTATAAGGGATAATAATGACATAACGATGATGTTGATCTTCCACACTACCTTAAACAAAAGGTTAGGAAGGAAACTAGAAAGCGCGGTTAATTTGCAGTGTAACACCCGCGTTCAGTTCGTATTAAAAAATTTCCAGAATACTTACATTTAGGTGTAATTGAACATGCTCGATTCAAATCTGGCTTGATAAATTTGATAAAATCTAGCGTTTTGGAGTTATCGACAGTAAAATTTCGGATTCATTTGCGTCTCGGGCAGCCATTACTGGCATTGTTTGCATACATCAGCTGCAGACTAGGTATCAGTTTAGGTATCACTGCGCAAACTGATCGTATCTACGTAAATAGGTCTCGTGCGCAGTAACTGAGACAAATTTAGACAAGAAAGATTAGTTCCGCGCTTAACTTTCCGTAGTCTTTCGCGTTGAGCTTTCCGCAGCAAATGTATGCAAAGAACGAGAGTAATGGCTGCCGCCAGCGATGCGAATGAATCCGAATTTTCACTGTCGATAACTCCAAAATGGTAGATTTTATCAAATTTATGAAGCCAGATTCGAATAGAGCATGTACAATTACACATAAATGTTAATATTTAGGAAATTTTTAATGCGAAATGAGCGCGGGTGTTACACTGTAAATTAACCGAAAGCGCGATAACAGTTATTAAACTTTGAAGCCTATTTCCCTTAAAAACTGTTTTAAGGGAAATATTTTATAAATATTAACCGAAAATAACGCTAACTGTTCGTTCAATGCCGAATGTTCCCTTATAAGGAAACGGCTTCTCTCAACATTAACATTACAGCTGCAAAACCAGCTTGATATACATCTCCCTTTCGAGGTAATTAGCATGTTTTTTTTTATTGTAATCTGTTCGATACTTACGGGTATATTACCATAACAAAGTAAGTATCCCAATATTGACCCAGCGTGATCTTGCAACAGTTAAGTGACTACTTTCTTAGATTATCAGCATTCGAAATTAAATTTCTTACCTGGGGTCGCATATGGTTTGTTGACACAACGAAAAATTAGCAATTGTAAAAGAAGAAGAAAGAGTGTCCTTTAGAAAGAAGTAACCAAAAGGAGAACGATCAAGATTATGAAATTTTAGAAAGAAAGAAACTAAGAAGAGAAGGAAGAGAAATGAAAACGTCGAAGGATGGGAGGAGTGAAGGAAGGAGAAGATAAAGAGCGAGAGAAATATTTAAAAATGGAGAAAAATGTACAAGTTACAAGAAAGAAAGAAAGAAAAAAAACATAATATATACTCTAAAAAGTGGGTCCAAAAAGGGAAAGCTAAAACCATTTGTAGACAGTTTGTAGACAGAATGACAATAGATAGAATGAGAAAATATTAACGAAAAGAGAGTAAACACTAGAAATATATAGATAGGGGGTGAGAGAAGAAAACCGAAAAAAAAATAAGGGAACAGACGTGGGGGGGGCAAATAGCGAAATATCGTAAACAGCCATGCGCCAAACGAAACTAAACTTAACAAAGAAAGGCACAAGGCCGGAAGCTTTGAACCCTGATTGAGAATCGAACTATCTACAATAGCAAATAATTTCTCAGATCAATTTAAAAAAAATAATCTTTGTTTTGCATGCGGCTACAAGATTTTTTCTCGCGGACCAATTTCTTCGTGTCGTGATTAAAAAAAAAAGGACTAACCATCAGCTGCAAGAAAGAATGTATGATCATAAGCAAGAGAAAAAGAAATATGCGAGTTACAAGTATTTTAACAGAGGATGGAAAATATGACACCGAAATCCGAAGACGCATTGAACTAGCGAAAGTGGCATTCCAAAGTGCTGGCAAACAGACAAAAATGATTAGAAATAAAAATAGCGTTAGCTTTCTCTGTGATATCCGTCCTTTTATATGGCAGTAAAATGAATGCGGGACAATGTCCCCACGGATGAGGAGAAAACTGAAGGCAATAGAAACCTGGTTCTGCAGAAGTCTACTGGTTTCATGGATGGAGCGAGTTAACAACAAGGAAGTCTTAGAGAAAACGGCAACAGAAAGAACTCAGATAGTAAGAATTAAAAGATTTTTCAAATTTCTGAACAAAGATTCAGGAAGTGGTGCTTGGAAATCGTGTCACTTACCTGATGAACTGAGTGACTGTATGGCGGAACATAGAATTGAATGAAGCCTTAGCAAAAGGTGAAAAAACTGCTAAAAGATTTGGAGATCCGTGATCGCTCATGTCCTAAAGGGACGCGACACATAGAAGAAGAAGAAGAAGAAGAAGAAGAAGAAGAAGAAGAAGAAGAATAGAAGATTTCGATTCTCATTGTGAACTCGACTGCTGCAGCTTTTGTTGGATTAAATTAATTCGTATGAAACAATGACAAAAATAATGAAACCCAATTGGGGTCCACGTCCTACATTGACACGACACGAAGAAGAAGAAGAAGAAGAAGAAGAAGAGGCTATTCCGTCAACGAGGAAGTTTTACGGACACCGGGAACGAAAAGGTCACGTTTCTTTAGGATCAGAAAGAGGCTTTTGAAATTTCTGGGATGGACAATGAAGAAAGAAGGTTTGGAAAATCTGACATTCACATGGTAAAAGCAAGGCAGGCAGAAGAAAATAGAATTAAGTTATTTTACAATCTTGTGTAAATATATTTCAGAACATAAGCTGCCCAGCTTGGGTGGGTGCATTGTTATAGCTACAGAAGGATCAGAAAATGTAGAGAGCCATGTAACTGGAGATATATCGTATATCCCTATCAAGATAACTCCTGTGGAAAGAAAGTAGAATATGTGAGGAACTAAATTGGAATCCAGATCTGAAATATGTATTTTAGCGACATATTTTTTTTATCAGCCATTCATTATTATGGTTAAAGCTTAATAATAAGAAGGAAATATTTCGATTCACATTGCGATCTCGATTGTTGTAGCTTTTGTCAGACTCTTAATAGGTGTACGTGAAACCTACCTCCATATGACACAATCAGAAAAATATTGGGAACTCAGTAAGTGTTGAACCGTCAGCAGCAGTACTGGCTAAGAGTACCATATACAGAACATATGAGTAACTGGGAAGTTTTAAAGAATAGAAGAACTACAAGTTACCTGTTGACAACAGCTAGAAAAAAACACAATTGAGAATGACTCAAGAGTTGAAATAGACAGATGTAGCTGAGAGTTTAGCCATTCTGGAATGATGCTATACATGACTTCCGCATGAGAGTCTAGATCTGACGATTCTATTTAAGATAGTTACGTTATAGCCCTATAAGTTACCTCTAACTCTGCTTTCCTACAAATGATTCTCTGGCAACCAAAGTGTGGAAGGTCCATACTATGAATCACATCTTTGTCATGATGGAAATCTTTCCAAAGAAGCAATTTAGAGTCGCAATAAAAGTGCTGTAGTTAATGGTCCGGAATTGGAAATCGGCCAATCTAGTTCAAATTCCGGTCGAGTTCTTTACATTCACTTTCGCACAAATACCCTACTGAAAGGTAGAAGACTGTCTCTTTTCCCACCAGATATGGGTTCCATATCAGTGCGTATTCAACTCTCTCGTGGTAAGCAGGCATTCCACAACTCTCTATTCTAGAAGAATAACTCCAAATTCCAAACAGTATGTAGCCATCGAAACGATTGCGGAGTTAACAAGGATTCTATAATCTCTACTGTTGTGATAGATAGATAGATAGATAGATAGGCTTGGAAAGACAGTGATAGATATTTTGATAGGTATTGACATACTGAGACAGATAAATATATAGCTAAATATTAAGATAGATATATATGAACAGACTGAGATAGTTAGCTGACTGATCGAGTGGCGTGTAAGATTACATTTATTGAGAGGATAATTATACAATGATTGATTGATTTGGTTTTAACAGCTTATCAACACTTATAGTCTCGTTCTTTGCCCTTATTGAGCAAATGTGTTAAATCTTTCCGAATCAACAGCAAAAGTTAATATTTATACTTAAACCATACTAATGTAGTGATATATATATATATATATATATATATATATATATATATATATATATATATATATATATATATATATATATATATATATTATGAAATGAACAAAGTCCGACAATTATCTTAAGAAATTTTTTTTTATTCAGGCCTTTTAAATGTCGTTAATACTGTTATAAACAGAGCATATACTTAAATATTTGTATCTATAAAAATAAGGTATAAACATAAAAAATGTCTTAAAATATATATATATATATATATATATATATATATATATATATATATATATGAAAAATATACGTTTAATTTATGCTATAATCATGGGTAAACGTGCCAAACATCAAGGATAAAACGTATGCAAAGAGAAAATATAAAAGTGGACATTGAGATCAACACCTACCTAGTGTCTACAGTCTGTTTCAAGTTTGAACTGGATCTTCAGTACAGGAAGATTGCACTCAATCACGAAAAAGATATATATATATATATATATATATATATATATATATATATATATATATATATATATATGACTGTGAGACCCGGGTTCGAATCTCACCACGGTAGATTTTTCATGAAGGAGACTACCTGATGTTATCAGTCTGAAGGGGACGACCCCAGGGTACACCTCCTTTCTGGTTGAGTGAAACTGGGTAGACGGAACATTTGGGGGCCTTCGATAGCTCCATTAGCACGAAGCCACAAGTCATTGTGACCGTGGGTCTGAGTGTACTGGCGTTGTTTAGGTTGATGATCCTGTTAGATAACACACTATCTCCGAGTTCGAATTAAAGTCGAATCCATTACATTCACTTACGTGCTAATACCCTTGGGAAAGGTATGAATCCTCTTCTTCTCCCCCCCCCACCCAGCTATGGGTAAATAGTAGGACAGACCAGCTTCTATAGCCTTGATGACAACTGGTGTACCGCAGATAGAAAAATGTCTGCCTCGTTGGTCATGGATCGAAAGATAGATGATTGCCTAAGCGTGTATCACGCATGGCACAGAAGTGACTGACTGAAAATAAAACTATCACTTGCCTTAACCATTGCATGGTATATTCTTGGTACTCTTTCCAACAGTTTTTTCAAAAAAGTAAAAGACAGACCTTCCTAAGCATTATTCAACCTCTGAAAAGCTAACATTCATTGGGTATTCTCTTCAAAACTCTCCTATCCGACATATGCAATACTCCTTCAATGAGAAAGAAGTCACGGGATGAAGGTAACCATGTCATAATTTCCGCAATTTTGACCTTTTTTGACTCGAGGTTATTTTGACATAGTTTATAGGGAGCCGTGAAAAAACACATTTTTCTGAGTTGCAAGCTGCACTTTGCATGCATCGTTTGTATGATTGTAACAAACACCCGTGAAAAACTTCAGGGCATTTCATGTCCATTTTCCCTGCAGCATCGCGATCGACTTTTTGTCAATATTTACTGGACACCGAGAAATAGTTGTCATTTATTGTATGCCAGAATAATAATAAATTGTACATCGGTGACATAAATTTAATTCCAATATTATTTAAGGGGTACATCATATTAAAATATTAAAAGTTAACAGTGAAATCTTGTGCGGAATCTGGGCATAATTTTCCTAGACAATAAACTCTACCTAATATAGCCATCTCTCGCTTTGTATCCGGTCACTTCAGGGCAAATTTCAGTCATCATTTTATCCCTTTTTCTACCGCCTGAGTAATGTCTGGCCATTTGGGTACAACTAATTCTATCTTAAGAATGTCATTAACCTGTTGTTCTGATAGAGAAGCAATGAAAGGAGGCTCCAGTTAATTGTGGAAGTTTTTTGCTTGTTACTTTCGTTTGGGGGTCACCAATTTTCTCATGTTGACTAAAGGAGGCGCATCATCATTCCCGCCTCCATCTTCACTGTCCTCCTCCTCATCAGTGTAGTTTGACAAATACTTGTCAACAGCAGCAATAGAATCTTCTTCCTCCACATCAGATATATCAGTGCATTCTTCCATCTGCTGAGTCTCCTATCTAATTTGTCTTATCATTGAGACAACTATTTCTCTAACAACCACATCTTCATCTGCACGCATACCAAGACGTTTATCTGTGTGGGCGAAGTAAGCATTTCCCTGGATATTCTTTTTCACTATCGTCTTCTTTTAACTATTCAGGTTTTTCTTATATAGCAGGAATTAGAATGCATTCCTTGAGCCGTGTGTTATGTAAGAGTGGAACTTGATGTAGAACCATATTGAAGCACTGAACTTTATAATTGTAATGGCAATTCTTCTCAGCTCGTGGCTGTGTCGATGTTGCTACTTACAGCCTGAGGAATCTACACCATAAAAGTTTCTACCTTGACACGCAGGCATGACCAGGCTCAAGAGCGGCCAAATCATCAACAACAACACCTGTAATAACTCCTTTACAAATCCTATACAATATTTCTGATTCCATGACATATTGTTCTTCAGTTCTTCTTTCAGGACGGGGAAATCAGTGAAACTGACTGGCTGGAAGGCAACATTTGGCAGCTCAGACAATGGCTCCTTTATCTGTTTTCCAATGGAACCACACCAATGCTCAGCACCACTCGGTTTATCATTATATTGATAGGAAACATCGCGGAAAGGAAACTCATTTTCGTGAACCTGACAGATTGAATAAAGAAGCAGGAGACAAAGTAAGATTTCAAGATGGTGAATGGCTCCAGTTTCATATCCTACATTTATATTGGTTCCATCAATACCAACACATACAGTGGACTTAGATTTTTCTCCACCAGAAACTTGTGAAGAGTTTTTGCAATCTGCTATCTTTTTCAAGTCTTGGGAGTCACATGTGTGAGATATTCTTTGCTCGGCTCAAACATGAAGACATAATTATTTTGCACTTTACCATCATCTTCAAACTCTATTTATTGGAATTTCCATCCTTTATCATCACACGAGTGGCGTTCTTCTTACCATAATAATACAATGACGTCATATTTTCAAAACTAGCTATCTGAATTTGTTGCTTCTCAATCGGTATTCTCACCTGGCACAGGGCTCGTCCCTGGGCTGGTGGTATCACGGCTATGACTATCTCTGACCAGCTTGTAAAAGCTATGACCAGCTAAGACCAGCTTAGACCAGCGGCCCGAGTGAAAACATTCGGGTCCCCACGTTAAAACTGACCTTGTGTCACAACCTGACTCAAGGGGGTCAAGTAAATACACTTCTCAATCGGTATTTTTGTCTCGCATTTCGTAGCTTCATGTCATCCTTTAAGGCAGCAATAGCAATGGCAACTCCAGCATAAGCTCTAAGCAAGTATCGGTCACAAGCGGCAGCCAGTGTGGGGAGCCTCATCCTATTCTTTGAGATGGTATCAGAGCTTTTGGATCGAGAACAAAACCCCTATCAGTATTGAAAAGTGGGATATCTTTTCAATCATTCTAATTATCTTCTACATAAGGAATATATCCAGCTACCAGATCTCTATGTCTTTGATCAAGATGTCTGCTTACTCTCTCCGGATCATGCGTCTCTCTTAGCGTCACTCTGTCCCACATCATCGTTACTTTCATGTCAATCCCTGCAATTTCCATCTTCGTATCATCTCGCTGGTAAAGGAGCTACTGCGCCTCATGTTTGGGAACGTTTATATCACAATTACAGGCCAAGTGGTATCCGTTAAACTTGCACTTCACATTCTAACAGGAGATAGTAATAGCCACAGATATTAAACAATAACTTCATTTTTTTTTCCTGAAATGCAGCTTTGTGCCCACATTCTTGTTATTATTAACTATTATTTATTATACATTTTTTCTCAATCTTTCCTCAATAGTTTTCTGGCGAAGAAGAGGAGCAATCTATCTCTAATTGCTTTTTGCTATATTTCTGAACAATCCTGGACGGCCATTTTTATAATCATTGATACATCTGCAGACTTTCCATCATCACATTTATATCATCAACAGTTTCTGACATCTCGTCTTTTCAGGGAAGTTTGTCCACTGAAAGAACACTTGCAGAACCAAACAATGCATGATTTTTGGGTGACTTCATTAAGACAATAGCTATCTCAATAGCAAATTGATAAATTAATCTGATAAGAGAAAGAGTTAGGGAATGAACAAATGAATGAACTGAATATAAAAATTGTACATTTTTACAATGTATTACATTGCACCAACACAAGTTACTGTAATTCCCTATGTATAATACGCATTTTATTTCTAAAAAATAATAAGAAAAAGCTGGGGCGTGTATTACGCACAGCTACAAAAAATTTCTAAAAAATTGCTGTAAAATAAAATAAGAATTATCCTAAAACTAAATTAGAATAATATTATTGTATGTTTAAAACCATGTTTTTAAATGAGTAGAAAACGCTGGTCGCAATGAAATTGGAGAGGTACAATTTATAGGACTTGATTACCAAACAAGGGGTGTGTATTATACGTGAGTAGAAGCATTTTCCCCACACTTTCAGCACAATTTTAGGTGTGAGGATTATGGATGAAGGCGTATTATACATGGGGAATTACGGTAAGTCAAATTTAAATTTCAGTTGCAAATTCTGCAGACTAAACCTCGATCTATCAGCTTCAAAATTGGTATGTTGTCTTAGATGTTTTATAAAGAAAAATCCATGAAAAATGCAGTGTTGAGAATAATTTCACTGCTCTCTAATAATGCAGAGAATAATTCATAGTTCTTTTTCCAATTCTAAGTAAACCAGATGATATAGCATGACTTTGCAGAATCGAATGTTATTGCAATTTTTTCATGATTCACATGACCTGAATCAAATTTCCAACATACTCTCGCCCAAAAGCACTTGTACAGAATAACACACCCAGAACCATGCTTAACTGTTTGAAACACATTTTTTATTCAGTCTTTCTCCTGACTTTCTTCTCACATACACTTTACCAAAATGTTTAAATTTGGTCTCATCCGTCCACAATACATTTTGGCACGCTTTCAACGTTCAGTTCTTATGATCTTTTGCCTATAACTGCCTTTTCTGATTAATCAATTTCCATAACACCATTTTCTTGATGGCTATGTGCCTCATGAGACCCTCTGATCTAAGTTAATTTTTCACAGTTGAAAGTGACACATATTGTTGTCGAGAGAACTGCTCCGGAGTTAACAGTTGAACTTAAGGTTCAGCTGTTAATTCGGGAGATGTTTTCGTTCTATTTCTTTCGCTCTCGATAGTCAAGTAAATAACAGCAGCAGTTGTAACTTTTACTGCTTCCGCTTGTTTATCTGTCAGCATATGCATTTTGTTTTTGACTCCTTTTCTAACGAGTATTGCACCTCATGTCTCGAAATCTTCAGCTTCATGACAATTTGTCTTTGAGAGTACATTTCATTGAGTAAAATTTCAATTCGTGCCCTCGCCTCAATGCTTAGCTGCTTTGAATTTGCTATTTTGTGCAAATTGCTTCAAAATTATAAATTAATTAAAAAAAATCTGTAAAAATATTGCTGTAATAATAAAAATAATATCGCCCAAATATCTTCCAAATCTGAAAGAAAAACATCATTAGTCGCTAAAACTTAATTCACTTTAAAATCTGTCCAAATGAAAAATCTATAAAAATATTGTTGTAATGGTATAGGGTGTTTCATTAATACGGTATATATAAGGATGTTTTATTAAGACGAATCAAAGTCAGCAGTAAATAAATCAGTGTTATTGGTGAAAATTTATTTATTTCTCTATTGGATCATGTTAAGTCATGGCAATTATGGGTGAAAAAGAATATCGCCAAAATATCCGCCGAAACTGAAAGAAAAACATCATCATGCTTATTATAAAACCCAGGTTGTGTGTGTGTGTGTGTGTCTGTTCGTTTATATATTGGATCGGATTTCCTACATTTTTCAACCGATTTCAACAAAACTTCACAGGACTACGTAAAATTATATTGCGGTGATTCTGACAGTTCCAAAAATTGGAAAAACAATTGTTTTTGCACGAAATCAATTTGAAAACACGATTAAGAGGCATTGCTGTTTCGAGAATGAAAAAGGGACAACTCATATCGAGTTATACTTATTATAAAACCCAGGGTGTTTGTTTGTGTATGTGTGTGTATGTGTGTGTTCGTTTATATATAGGATCAGATTTCCTACATTTTTCAACCGATTTCAACAAAACTTCACTTTTTTTGGCAGGTAGTGTTTCTTATTGTCTTTATTTTTACATTCAGAATGCTTTAAAAATTCAATTTACAAAACAATTGTTTATAATAAAATTGAAAAATTCTAATCAATCGGTAGACTCATAACGATTGAAAACAATGTTTTTTGATTGAGTTTGGGTTTGATCAATTCGTAAAAAAAAAATAAACTAATTAAGACATGCGTGTCTGTCATACTTAAACAATAATCTTCGTCAATTTTATTTTTCAGTCTTTATGAGGGTCGATACTTGATCTATCTCTTACTGTTACATCCCCGGGCAACGCTAGGCTCTACTGCTAATTAGACGCTAAAACTTACTTCACATTAAATTCGATCCAAGTTATTGGAACAGCTTTTACACTCTTTATTCCTTTTAACAGAGACAGCTACATCTATTTTATTTACAAGATTATTCGGTGATGACTTAGCGTTTAATATCTCTATTAATATTTAACTTAAATGAAAAAATATACTGAAGAATTAATGGTCAGAATCAAAATGTAATATTTCTCATAGAAAATATTCATAATTTAGCAAGATATATTATAGAGAGAATAATCCGAATTTGATTTTTTTGTTAGTAAAAGGAACCGAAAGAAAAACCGAAAAATAAAAGGGAACACACTGTGTTTTATCTTTTATCTTTTACAAAAATCTCCCATTTCAAACCAAGCTTGATGCCTATAGTATAATGGCAGAGAGTTTAGAACGTTTGCATTCTGATCATGAGATCCGGGTTCGAATCTCACCATGGTCGATTTGTCAGAAAGAAGATTTCCTAATGTTTTCAGACTGGATGGGTCAATTCCAGCATGCAGCTT